GGTTACACCGTGAACAATCGCTCTGCTGGCCGTATTTGGGGTATCGGTGTCACCGTATACAATTCCTTTACCACCTGTGGGTCATCGAACCTCAAGCGGCACCTCCAACGACACCTGGATATTTATTAGCCGCCGCACGGCTCCGCGATTTCGCCAATCTATCTATCGATCTATCTGTCTATCTAGCGGTCTACGATACGCGAGAGATATGTAGATGGACGGATGGATGGCGAAACGAGAGAGGTCCGAGAAACGTCGCGTCTCGGCAGGTGAGGAGGGGCTGGTTCCTTTCCTTACCATAAATCAGACCTGTGCCGAGGGACTCGTTACGCTCGCTCCCTTCTCTCTAGGATATACCACCCGCGCCCTTGGCATTCGTAAATTTTCCCCGACGGACAATACGGTCCTGATGCGACCGGGGCCATAAAAGGTCGACTCTTGCCGAGCTTCGTAACCGATACCTACCCTAAACCTATTCGCATTTTCTCCTACACCTGTCCAACTCGTCCTCGGCCTATCCAGCAGCAACCTTTACCGACGCGGCGTGGCACCGCAGGAGGAAAACGGACCGTTGCCCCATGACGAATCGCGCGACGAAACGGAATCCTCGGTACGTATGTAGTTCTGAGAACGTAACACGCACGAGCTACGGATAACGCGCCGGATGCCACGGAGAATGCGGAAAAGGATTGGACACTCGGAAGAGTGGTGAAGGGTGCGCGCCGGCGGAGAGAAATAAAGGCAATGAATGATGCCATGCGGCAGGTGCATCGTGGCGTGTTTAACGAGTGGTCCGGTCCCAGACTCCGTGCACCTGTAACACTTGGACCGACTCGAACGAACCGACTCTCGGTTCACGCTCGGCTCGTTCCAGCCTAAAAATTTCTTCGGGGGCCTTTTCCTTCCTACGTTATACTTACCGCCGGGTAGGCGGTAATTGGCGCGCGATATTTCAAGGACCGTAAGTCAGGAAGCCGGAGCCCTCGAGCTTCGAGAACGTGAGAAATAAACGATGCCGCGTATACGCGCCAGATGAAATACGATCGCGGCGCGGCTGTGCTCGGAGAAAAGCCGCTTAAGAATGCTCTTAGTCCACTCTCTCTCTCTCTCTCTCTCTCTCTCTCTCTCTCCACTCTCGTCCCCACGCACGTGTAACGGCGGACTCGAAGCGCACTCGCTCTCGCTCTCCTCTGGTATCTCTCTCATCCCGTTCTCGATCGACCCACCTGTTGAGTTCCGGCGAGGCTCGTTCCCTCCGTTCCCTGCCGGCGCGGCGCCGCCGCGACATACCTTTTTCGCTCCCTATCTCGACATCGATACCAACAACCCCCGTTCCGTCAATCTCGTCGCACCGCGTTTCATTCCTCCAATCTGCTCACGTTCCAATCTACCGGCGAAACAAACAAAAATTCCACGCGAATTAGCTTAGCGACGTACTTACATATGTATCTTGGTCGGCCGTTTCTTCGTCGTCCATACGCGTTAAGTCTGAGAAACGGTATTCTTCCTACCCGCCCACTGTGCCTTTCGTCCAAGTAAATTTCGTAGAACAACATGAGTTCCAAATAGAGAGAGAGAGAGAGAGAGAGAGAGAGAGAGAGGGAGAAAGAGAGGAAGAGGCAGAGAGCGAGCCTCCATTATCGCATAGGCAAGCGTGGGAGCATTCGCCGATTTCTCCTCTGGGTTTCAACGGCTACAAATCACTACTATGCACTTTTAATGCCAGCTTCTTAGGGGCCAAAGCCCCCGATAGCGCGTGTACGCCTTCTCGAATTCCAAGGATGAACGAAAACGCGTTCGGATGCACCGGCTGCCGATCCAAGATTCTTCGATCCTCCACGAAATAATTAGCTACGACACCCTATCGGAAGATCCGATCGAGCAAAGGCAAAATTGCACGGAAGAGTGGTGGCGAATCGGGGCGCGTGAAGCGGTAGCAAAAGCCGATTCGCGAGTAGCCAACTCGCCTTTTTTGACAGCGGCGGCAGGTGCGAAGAGCCACGCGAAATAATTCGGCCGTCCGGCGATGACACGCCGCTCCGTGTTGCATTCGCAGAGATCCACCTGCCTATTCTCCACCTTAAATATTCCGAACCTCCTTCGCCAACCAGAGAAATTCACCCGAAATCGGATTAAATCCCGAAAGTAGTTACGCACTTACGTACCCCTATCTTGTGTCGTCCGCGTGCCGTCCGCGTGTCGTCCTCGAGCCGTCCCCTCGATTTTTTCCACAGGGTAATCGGAAAAGACAGCACCGGCCGTATTTCGAAGGACAGAAGGTGAACTAATGGTGGATAAAGCGTTATCGGGTGCCGTCTGCTTCGCAACAGGCTTAAACGGCAACGGGACATTCCAGTCGTACGCTCTACTTCAAGGAACTAATACAAGGAACGCGAAATTCTATCTATCTATCTATCTATCTATCTATCTATCTCTCGAAAATCGAGCGCGTTAATCGCTCGTCCAGTTACGCGATCCGAATTGACGAACGATACGGGTTTGCAACAGGCGTAAAACGTGACTATCGGCCGAGTGGATCGGGGGGGGATAGGCGAAACGAAATGAAACAGGAAGGGCTGTGAAAGGGAGCGCGTGCTTGATGCACAGAGAAAGAAAGAAAGACCGCGAGAGAGAGAGAGAGAGAGAGAGAGAGAGAGAAGGAAGGTAGGGAAGAGAAAGGACATATGGCAAAGCTTTAATAATTGAAGCTGACACTGGCGCAGATGCGAACACAGTCGCACGGTCCGCCCATCAAATATTTAGAGATTATTAAGTACGCACATGCTGCTGTGCGTTTGCACGCGTGACTATGTAGTCTAGTATCGCGAAAGGAGAAAGAAAGAAAGTCAGAGTTCCGCGGAAATGGGGGAGACGGGCGGAGAAGGAGTTTTGGTGGAATAAGATTTATTAGCGCGCGACTGGCAGCTAAGAGGCAACGGCAGGTGCGTGTGCCGCTTTACATGCGACAGTGGGGATATACTGACAAATCGCAACGCCCTCGGAAAAGAGAAGACCCTTGCCAAATTCGCCAGACAGGTTACTACTGCGTACACACGCGTGGCAAACGCCGATCGCCTTTCAATTCGGTCCCTCGAACGAACCGGTTCCACCCCGCCAACTCTCAAACTCGAGGCTCGACGTGCCAGCGCGATTCGAGCTCGCAGCCGAGGAAAAGACGAAAAGACAAAAGGAATAGGAAGAAAGAGCTTACGTAGGATACGGTACGCGCGCGACTCGCAACGGCCGAGAGCGGCCCTTGGGAATTTCCTTGGGCTTTTTCCTCACATCTGGTCGACACACGCATCCCAACAAATCGGATGGCCTCCGCCTTTTCTCTTTAATACCCTTAACGCGCCCCTATCCGCGCATATGCTTCGCAGATACCGCACGAACGCGTTCGCACCAGGGGTTCCCGTTCCTTCCGTATAGGTACCATAAACGTATAGACACTCCAATTATCCAGTGACAATACGACGAGTGTTCGTGGACTGTCGCTCCTAGCGCTGATAATGGCCAGAATATCGAACATTCGGAAGGAATTCGGAAGGAAAAAGAAATCGTACGGTTCGCAATTAGGGTGACTAGCAACATCGAGCAGCCTCGACCTAACCAGGATTAAGATACCGAGGTTCTCGCAGATGGCCAACATACGCCTATGCGGTGCGTTCTGGCAGCAATCGTAGAAGAACCAGGACGACTCGTGGGATTTTTCGGGTCGTAAATGACCGAACAACGGTCGAAAAACCGGGGACACGACCTTTTCTTATTCCTGCCGTGGACAAGTATCGTAGTATTGTAGTTGTGCGCCCCGTAAATACCATTGGTTCGAACAACAGAGTAACAAGCTCTCGCTTGGAGAAACTGATCAGTTTCATCGCGGTGTTTCATCGCGAGGGATCAGAGTTTCGTAGGTGGAAGCACCGCGAGCACGCACGAACATCCGTGCGTTACGATCCGTCGCGGGTGGTTCGTTCGAAATCGAGCCGAGAAGCTTTCAGGCGTTTGCGCGGCAGCGAGAAGAACAGGCGGAGGAAGAAGAAAGAAAGGAGGGAGCGAGCAAGTAGAGAAGAAAAGGCACGACAGCGCGGTGGATGGGCAAGAGAGATGGAGGGTGCGGTGAGGTCCGGCGTGGCGTGGCAAGGCGCGGAGGAGCCGAGACAAACTCTCGGCCGGCTGGCGCCGTTCTGTCGGCCCCCGCTGCCTCTTGCCGCCAACAATGCGCGCCGCACACCTCTACCCCGTTCACTTCGCCTTCCATCGTCACCAGCGTCAACGCCAACACCACTACTAACACTAACACCGGCACCGGCACCGGCACCGGCACCGGCACCAGCATCACGACACCACCACAATTCTAATCGTCGTCGCCGACGACAATCGCGTCAGATACTCCTTACCGAGATTCTCTTCGAATCGCAAAACGAACACGTCTTCCCTGCTCGCTCGTCCTATCGAGTTTCGGAGCCAGCGCTTATTCCACTTATTGTTAGCGGTGCAAGTACAAGTAGTAGTAGTAATAGTATCAGAGTTAACGCCAGTAGACGGTATGTATACGTATACAACTTACGTTGTTGGCCGGAGTCGAGGCTGGAAAAGGAAACGACGTTCGTTGAGGTAGTAGTGGTAATCGCGTCTATAAAAGAGACAGCACGAAGGTATAGATGGTGGTGTGGTGGTGGTGCGTCATGGTAGTGGTAACGTTAGAGGCAGCAAAGTCGCAGGCCAGTCGGGACTCCCTCGCACGCGTATGCGATGAAAGAGGCTCGAACGCACGAGGCCAGTCAGTAGATCGTCGGCTGCGATCGAGCGAGGACGCGTTGTGATTCCGCAATCCTTTCCTTTTCTGTCGTCTTTCTTTACCATCGATTTTTCGCGCGACTGCCCACCCGATCGTGTGTCATCGATACACTTTTTCACACGTGGTTTTACGCGATTTTACGTGATTTTACGTGATTTTACGTGATTTCCCGAGTAATTTTCTTTAAGGAAACACAACCACGTACTTGAAATAGTGCGTTAGAGAGAGCAAACACGAGGGAATAGGAGAGTGCTAGCTAGAGGAACGGAAGAAGGGTGAAGGAAGAGAAGAGAGCGTGCTACGCGGCTGCTGTAAACCTGTCCGCTACACGTGTTCGTGGGATCCACCCCACGAAAAGTAGTGCATGAACGTAGTAGTGCGTGTGTGGTGATCGAAAATAGAAGAAGACGGTGTTTAAGGCGCGCGGAAGCGCGCAACCGTGTCTCCAGCCACAGACGAAAATGACCCATCACGTGGTGGAATCCGTCTCCGAGTTATCCGCTATGATGAAAGGTGAATATTCCAAATACCAACCGGACGTGTTCCTCAAACTTCTTTCTCGCTTTTCCTTCTTAACCGTCTTTCTTAACCATCCGTCGCAACGTCGTCCAAGGGTAATCGCGGTTGCACTCGATTCGGTGGACGCTCGACAATTTCATCCTGTCTATAGAACGCGAATAGAATAGTGACCGCGAGAGACAAAATCGTAAATCGTTGTTCGCTCGATTGATAGTCCCGTCCGTCCCTGGTGGGAGTCGCGAAGAACGATAATTATTGTTATGAACGGCGCCAAGCGAGAGATCGACTTCAGCGGCTCGGAGTGATGCGGCTGCGAAAGAAAAACGAACGCAAAGTCTGCTGCGCTCCAGACAGGAGAGAGATTGTACAGAATAGCTAGCTGCTCACTATGTAGTCACGAGAGAGAGAGAGAGAGAGAGAGCGATAGGAGGAGGGGGAGATAGGAGCCGAGAGGCTGAGAGAGAACGCGATTCGTGACGGACCGTAAGACGGAAGAAGGGAGAACGTGACAGTTGATAGAGGAGGAGAATGAGAAAGAGGGATAGGGCGCGGCGGCGGCGGCGGCGGCGCCAGCGTGGGTTGGCACACAGCGAACCAGCAGGCGAATCGACTTGTGTGCACGAAACAAACGACCTCTTGACCAAACTTGAAATTCACCGTCTAATCGCTATCTACATACTTGGTTGCACAGTTCTCTTTCCTTTCCTCTCCTCTCCTCTCCTCTCCTCTCCTCTCCTCTTCGTTTCGGTCAACGTCGTCGCGATGCTACACGGCTCTGCCCTTTACATCGACTTTTGTTTCTTACGTTACCTGTACGTTGTGACGAATAACCATCGAAAACCTGTTGTCGTGTAATCATCCGCAACAGGGCGGTAATTCTACGACCGACCGACCGATCGAACGAGCGCGAACAGCGACTAATTGTAAGCGATGTAGCTACTGGTAAAAATGCGCGCATCGGAAAATCGTGGAATCGACAAACGAATCGGCCGCGTATCGATCGACACCAAAGTCTTTTACGGACGCGTCGTAAACTTTCGTCTCTTTCTTACGGCCGAGGAGGCGAGGGTGGAACCCCGGAATTAAGATCGTTCCAAGAACGCGATTACCAGTTAAACCAGATTTTACCGTCAGAGACCGTCGAGTGTAATCGATATATCCTATTGTGCGATTGTGCATGGTACAGGTACCACTGGCACAGGTAGAATGACCGCGAGGGGAACAGGGTACGGTAAGCGTTCAACCTTCCACCCACCTGTGCGCAAAGTCGCACCTGCTACCTGAGCCGGACCTCTTCCTCTAGCCACTCACCTCCTCCTCCTCCATCTCCTTCGGCCACTTCAAATGCCAGCCACCCAAATGTCTACATATGTATATTCTATTCTCTTGTGCCTTGGAAAAATTCTAGCTTGATAACGCGAGTCGCATGTTGTTCGTGGCGCCTGGGCCGCGACGTTAGTCTTTAGTACACACGCACTCATCGACCATCTCTTCACCGGATCGGCCAGTCACGATATCGCAATCGCGCTATCGATATTCTTCGAATGCACCTTGTCACGATTGCCTTCGGGGATAGAGATCAGCCGACGATTATATGTAGCACGTCCCGATTTCAACGAGAAGGAGAAGATGGATCTGGACAGCGAAGAAAGAGGATCAGCCCAAGACCGAGGACGGAGGGAAATGTCGCCGCGTCAACGATATCGATTTAAACGTTACTCACGCGTGGACCATCTGGCTAGCGCCATCTTCTCTCCTCCTCTTCTTATCCGCTACTCTCTCGCGCCTTTCCCCTTCCCGACTCGACAATCCTCCTCTCTTCGCTCAGCTTCTCGAACAGTATTCGATTCGAAACAGCGAAACAATTGGCATTCGGAGTACCTACCCACTCCTACCCTATCCGACGACGCCGATCCTTTTTCCTCCTCTCCTCGATCCGTCCACGCCGCTTATTTATAATCATCGCGAAAGTTGGCGGCGATTCCTTCTTCGCCTTATTTCAGAACAGTTGCATCCACAAGCGTTACACTCGACTATTTCTAGCGCACCGTAAGGTCGTACCGCGGAGGCAAAAAACGACCATCGCTACTGCCGAACGGAGCTACGTTCGACGTCCGTCAATATCCAACCATAACAAATATAATTATCAATTATCGTTAGGCGCGCGCGAAAAACAGCGGAAAGATGAAAGGAAAAGAGAAAGAGAGAGAAAGTATCGCGGCTATCCGTTCGTTCGTCCCTGACGAGAAGATCGGAGATATCCAGTTTGCGGTTAGATGTACGCGTTCGCGTGAGTTTACACAGATGTCCAGATGTTATTTCGGTTTGTTTGAACAATTGCCGAACGGAACGACAAAGGTGTGGTGGTGATGGTGGTGGCGGTAGTGGTGGCG